CCCACATGTGGCTGCTCACATTCCATTTTTTGTCTCAATAGTTAGGGAAGCCCATGTCAAGACTGAGCCTCCAAGAGCCTCAGGTGTTTTGTTGTTGTTGTTTTCTTTTGGGGTTTTTTTGTTGTTGTTTTATTTTGTTTTTAGAGACAGGGTCTTGCTATTAGTTTATGATGGTCTTGGGCTCACTATGTAGGCCAAACTAGCCTGGAACTCATAACGATCCTTCTGCCTCAGCCTCCTGAGTGCTGAAATTATAGGAGTACATCACCACACCCAACCTTAGGAGCCTCAATTTCTGAGTGATACCCATACAACATGAGTAAAAAATAAGCATTTTCTTTTAAGCCACCAGGGAGTTTGGAGTTGTTTGTAATTGCCTCATAATTAAGCCTGTCCTGACTAACATACCAATAAGTACCTCAAAGTATAAGAATTTATCTAGCAAAATTCAAGATGGCTTTATCATAAACCTTTGTATAGGTAGTATGTGGACATCTGGTTTGTGGACTAGGACCTCGTAGGTTCATGTTCCTTTTCTCTGAGTTTTGCTGTTATGATTTAGACCTAGAATGTTCCCCAAAACTCTGATGCACTCAGGCAGGGCTTTTGGAAGGTGATTGGATTGTAGGGGGCTCTATACTCATCAGTGGATTCATGCACTAATGCGCTCAGCAGCTGAGTGTGCTGTTAGGAGGTGGGGCCTAATTGGGGGGGTGGTTGCTGGGGGAAGACCTAGAGGAAAGTATCTCCTTCCCAGCTCCTCCCTTCCCTTTCTGCTTCTTGGCCACTGTGATATAAGCAGCCTTCCTCCTCCAGACCCTTGCACCATGCCATTTCTGCCTTGGAGCCAAGCAACCACGAACTGAAACCATGAGCCACAATAAACTTCTCCTTTAAATTGTAGGTGTCAAATGTGTCCAGTGCAAAAAAGTGACTAAGACATTTGTCAAGGAATTATGAGATTATCACAATCTATGATGACCTATAAAGTATAAGGAAAGAGCTAAGGATTTAGCTCAGTGGCACCACGCCTGCCTGGCATGCTCAAGGTCCTGCATTCAATTCCTGGGAAAGAGAAGAGGAGAGGGGAGGGGAAGAGGCCACGGATAAACTGCTTAAATCCACAAATAAACTGCTTAAATCCAGAAAATCTGAGCAGTGATGGGTTTTGGGGGGTTTTGTATTTTGTTTTGTTTTTGTAACCGGGGATCAATCTCAGAACCTTGCGCTTTTGAGGCAGGCACAGTGCTACTGAGCAAAATCCCTGGCCCAGCAGTGATGAGTTTCAAGCTTGGTAGAAGATTAATTTGGTGGATATCTGTGAAAAGAAGCTATTTTATGAAAGATGACTCCTGCAAAGGGTTGAAGGGAGCCTCTCTTCATTTTGAGCATCTACTGCTCACTCAACTCCATCTAACCTACAGCTATTTTACTTTCTCAATCTACAGGCAGGTCCTTAATGCGTGTGCTCCAGACTCAGCTAATTTTAGAATGCTGATGTCAGTCGAGTAAGCAGGAATTTTCCTCTGCAAACTTATTAGTACAAGAATTATTTTATTTCTATCAATCAAATCAACTTTGTTGACCAGCTACCAGTCATCTAAGAGGTGAGATATTTGATCTCAGCCATCTTGGGGGTGGTCATCCCTCTCCCTAGAATTTCACAAGAATCCAGGAAGCATATGTGGCTCTCAGCAAAGGGCAAAAGAGCCTCTGGTTCTTATGATTGCTGCTAGGAAGCTCATTATCCCAGGCCACACAGAGAAAGGATGGGCAGGCCCCTCTCTCCATATCAATCATGGGGACACTTTTCGACAATCCACCAGGCCACAACTGTCCCCATGTGAACACTAAAACACTAAAGAACACTAAAGAAGCTACACGGAAGCAAGGTTCAAGTCTGTTTCACTCCAAGAATAAATCATTCTCACCTCAAGGATGGTGCTTTCTCCCTTCTTACAGGTCTTATCAAACACACAGACATCTTGAGAGTGTGGGGGCATGCAGAAGAGAATTCTGACAAATTCATTTGAGTTGACTAGAAGCCCTTACCTGACAGACATGCAATGTACCTGTGGAGGCATGAGGCCTGAGTTTTTACCATGAAGTCTCTGCCTCAACCTCCATGACCAGATATCTCCAATCTCCTTAACCATTAAGCCTCAGGGAGTCCCTGGTGTTTTAAAATGCACCCAGGATTTAGCTGGTTATATGACACACAGACGCAGAAATGACTACCATCAAGGAAGAAGAGTGTACTCATAGCTAGAAACAGGTGGAAGAGCACTCCACGCAGGGAGCCACACAGAAGCACCAGGGTGGGTCGGGAGGGGCTAGAGCCCTTAATGTGGTTTTCCACAGGAAGAAATGAGTAAGACTGACTAAGTTTAGGATTAACTACTTTGAATAATCTCAGTGGACTTTAGGGTATAGGAGCTGTCTTTAGTTGTCTGGTACTTGGCCCTGAAGTGATTAAGACAGGAGGATTGGAGTCCAGTGCCTAAGATCCCTGAAAGACCTCAATAAGGAGACTATTGGGTATGGGGCCTGAATTGGCTGGTTTGCATAAGAAAGGTCATCTGCAGACAAGTCTTTTACTCTCTCTGGGAATTGGCTATTCATGGGAGTAACATTCTCTCCAGGATCACCAAGCCCCCAGATGTAAAAGCATCAAAAATACAAAAAATATCCCCAGTACCAAAAAATACAAAGGTATGATGAATACACCTGGGCTAAACCTCAGTCTTGGAAGGATTTTATTCCCAGCCTTCTCAACTCAAAGGACTTGCTTGTACCTGAGAGATGCTGGTCCTGGGTTTCAGCATCAGTTGCTGCTGTAGTTACTTTTCTCATTGCTGAGACAAAATACCCAACACCCAAAGTTAAAAGAGTAAAAGGTTCATCTGGCTTACAGTTTGTAGAGGTTTCAGTCCATAATCAGCTGGCTCCAAGGCAGGGTGGCAGAGGGGCAACAGTTCATGGCAGACAGTAGCAAAGCAACAAGGGATCTTAACAGCATCTTCCTTTCCCATTTATCTTATTCAGACTACTTAGGGCAGGTAGCACTCACACCCTTAATCCTAGTGCTCTCAGGCATACATTGCATCATGAATCACACACTGTAGATTCTGCCACCTCTGAAATAGCCCCACCTCATTCACAAGAGGCTTTGGGGGAACATCTAAACAAGCCATAACAGTTGCTGACTCCTCCTGTCCCAACCATGACTCCAGCTGCAGGTGCTCAAAGCATTTAGCTTGCAGTTCAACAATGCCATGGCCCAGAGTCTGTGAGAAGAATGCCAGCTGGGACTTAAATAAGCAGTGCCTTACCCACAAGGGACAAGTCTGGAATTCATCTGTAGGCCTAAACCCTGTGTCCAGTGTGTCCAGGGAAAACCCCAGTCCCATAGGCTGGGAGCCCTTAAAAACAGGAAAAGTCCCTGGTTTGCACTTATTTCTCCACAGGAACAGCCCTCCTCCAAACCTGAGCCATCATCTTGGCTCTTCCAACCACCTTTGCCCTACCTGACATCCCAAAGAAGCTGGATCATTCTATTGTTTTTCCTTCCCAACCACAACCAGGACCTAGTGTTTTACATGAATCCAGATGGACCATTCTGGAACCTGATGTCTACTGGCCACACTACCTGTGTGTCACAGAGAAGCATGTCCCTGGGCCCCATAAGAGAGAATCAGAAAACTGCAGAAAGATTTCTTTTTGTTTTTATTGCTAGTTTTCCCTCCACGTGATGAAAATAATCTTTAAACATTCCAATCTTGCATTTGCCCAATTAAAAAGGCAAGTTTTAGCTCTTTGCCTTTAAGAGATCGGTCTCCAGCCAACCAAGAATAGTTAATTGTGGTTGTGACCCCCTCCCCCCATACAGCAGAGTAGCAAGAAGGGTCAGGACCCAGCAAGCACTGAAAGGAGCCCTTTTCTGATATCACTGAGGCCACTAGTTAACTTGGGGGCTGCTGAGGAAGGTGGAGGAGCAGGGGCAGTTCTTGGACAGGAAGTAGATTTGCCTCCTGTTGGGGTTAGGGCCAGTAATGAGCATCTCTTTCTAGCTCTGCATCAGTAAGGTTACATTGATAGAAGCAGATCACTGCTTAGGTGTAACAGGCTAAGAATCATCTTATGGATCAGGAACCAGAATCAAAAGCAGAAGGAAATTTGAGAGTGAGGGACAGAAAGCTGCAACCCTCTGGAGGTAATACAAACACAAGTGACCACCCAATAGCTGCAGTAATGTGCAAACCTCAGGCAGGACCCTGGCAGCCAGAATCCTAACAATCCTCCTGCAGAAATGCAAGGGTTGAGGCCTCAGTCTATCCCAACCCTACACTGTCTTTCAGTTCCTTGGTCCATGGACACTCTAATTTCCCACACAACCAAAGATGGTGTCATCATTCATACTATTTCTTCCAGAGTTAGTTTCACATTCCCAAACTCGTTTACTCTTGGGGCTTGAATTTTCCCAACAATCAAAATCCATATCCCTTCCTTTCATACCTTTTCATGTCCATCCTTCATTTTTTCTACATTCCACATCCCATATTTCACTAACCAGAGCTACAGTTCAAGGACTACATGTTCCAAATCCACTGTGAACTCTCCTCTCCTGAAAAAACTCTGCTCCTACCTCCCAGGGACTCTAATCTTCCCACTTTCCTCTGCCAAGCAGAACCGCCTCAAATAAGTAGTTCTGCAGTGAGGACAAACCAAAGTACGTGAAGCATTCCTTCTCTGTCACATATGGAGATGAGCAGGTCACAAAAGTCAGACACTCTGAGATTTATAAAAGTCACAGATCTGCCTAAAACCCAGACCCTGGCAGCTAAGATCTGGCAAGAAATGACGCAGGATAAGATACCTGTGTGACAACGGCCCTCTTCTTCCACTTCAGGGGACTTAAAATGATTGCATGTGTCATGGTTTTCATATGGTTAAGCTATACAATTATGGCACAATAAGTCAATGTTTACAATAACAACATCTACTTGTACATATAGTGCTTTATTGTTTACATGTTTTCTCATTTAATCCTTGCAGCAACCCTGAGGTAGGTATTACTATCCCCGTTTTACAGATGAGTAAGCCAATGTCCCTAGGTTAGAATACATCCCCAAGATTATATGCTTCTTCATGGCAAACCCACTGAAATTTCAAACCCAAGGGGACTCTTGAGTAGTTCACAGGCTGCTGTCAAGGAAAGTAGAGCAGAAAACTTCAACTGGAAAGGACTAGGCCATTCACTGGACCTTGAAGGAGTCCCTCACTAGGGATGAAAGAGGCACATTCACAGGCCAAGACCAGGACCGGGCAGGAGAAGCCTAGAGCACGTGGGAATTACAAAGCAGGAAGTTCCGGACATTGAGTGAGAGTTGACAGTGTCTTCAAATATGCAGAACCCAGCTTCCATGGACTATAGAAACAGAGGGAGGACCTTCAGCAGCTACAAGTCCAGGGACTGGCCACAGGCAGCAAGGCGAGGCTAGGAGGAGCTGCCATAGAGTGGCACCTTCTTGGCTTGGCCCAAGTGCAGTGACCTCCGGGAAGTGGTCCTTGAATGTTGTAAGGCCTTGAGAATCTGATGAAAGCCATACCCCACCAGCCACCCCCCAGAAAAATACAGACACACATGTACAAATGTACAGACAACATTTTGCATACAATTTTAGGGAGCCCATGGACCTGAGGTGGGGGACTCCTGCTTGAGGGCAGAGGAGTCAACCTGAGTAAAGTCACTGATCCAACTTATCTTTAAGCTGCTTATATTTCCTGTTACTGTACCCCTTTTGCTGTCCTCTAATATTTAGAATGTTGTGAAGTTCATTTTTAATGGTTGCCAAGGAAAAGAGGTTCAACCTACACTCTAGGCAGGGAAAGAGCATCTATGTCATGGCAGTGGTGGCAAAAATAAACAGAAGGATGGGGTCACACGTAATAGGGCCCTTCCCACCCAGAAGATCACTTCAGGAGCTTCTCTCTACTCAGATTTAGAAAAAGGTTGTGGGTCAATGGAGAGAGGGCAGTGTTTTGTTGCCTTTTAGAAAAAAAAGCCACTCACTAGGTGCAGGGTGTGGAGTTGTGCAGGTATTGGCCCCACTTCAACCTCCCCCCTCCCCACAACACCTAAGCTTCAGCCTGGTCACTCATACACATGTAGCCAGGTCTTCTATGAACACCAATGTATTTACACACACTCTTTCATGGAAAAAGGAAAACTGGGGTAGGGGGCTTCAGGCAGAGGTTCCACATTGCAGCATAGGGATCATGCACTCACCACAGAGAATCAGTAAAATAGAGAATCAACAGAACCATCTCAAGGACTCAGTTCATATTGGCCCCCAACTACCTCCATCGCTCTTCCTCCTGACCAGAGCCCACCTAGAAAGCAGTCAGGGTTCTATCTTGTGCCCCATAACCAAAAAAAGGGCCCAAGATAGTAGCTCATGGCTGAAGGGTCATAGGAGCTCACAAGTTGAGGAGAGGAGGCAACCTAATTCACTGCAGCCCCAATTCTCATGGGAATCAGGAATCAGACAAAGGCCTGGCCCCAAGCCCATCCAGGCCCAGACAGGGCAGACACTGACATCCAGGTGATCATTCAGACTCAACAAAAAATGAGAGGCCATGATAGTCTTCCAGGCCCAGCGACCTGGTCTCAGTGGTCACTTTGTTCCAGCATTCACTCATTTGCCTGGCTCTAGATGGATGTTTCATCACATGTGGCCAGTGGAGCCCCGGTGAGCCTAATATGGGCCGGGCTCGAGCAAGGATCAAGCAGGAAGGGTGGAGGGAAGCCACCAAAGCCACTACCCCTCTTGGCCAGGGCCAGAGGCAACCGCTCATCTTCAGGAGAAGGGGAGGGAGGGTCTTGGCTGTAGCTTGTGGTCCCAGACGGTAGGGCCCCTAGGTCTAAGCCCACCTTATCTCTAGCCAGAAGTTCCCTCTGTTGCCGTCTCTGCTGACACCGACCAATCAAGAGGAGAGTCAGAGATGCTACAAGAACCCCCAGGAAGAAGCCAATCAGTCCAGCCCCCACTGTGTGGGCTCGGTTTGAGGGGCCCTGGTGGCTGCCCCACACCAAGCTGTAAGCTGCTACCACACGGGCTGCCCCACCCTCCTGACATTCACAGGCGTAAGCACCCATGGCCCCTGGGCTCACCACCACCTCTAGCCCATCACGCCGGGGGGTGAGTGCAGTCATTCCGCTGGGCTGATGCCACACACAGGATGCCCATGCTGAGCTGGGGGAACATGGCAAGACCACATGTGCAGATGTGGCCACAGGAACTTCAAACACTACTGGGTGTTCTGCAGAGAGATAGCACAGGCATAAAAAGTGGTGAGACTACAGGCTAATGTGTAGTGGAGAGAAATGCTGGGTGACATCAGACATGAGACAGTACCATGGGGACCAAGCTAAAAAGGAGATTCCCAAAAGAGTAAGGCCGTGGGTCACTGGCTGCCATGTTTTCCAGAATCCAAGTTTTAAAGCAGGTATAAAATGGACAGCTTTCTAACCCCCCTTTTATCCATTCTTCCCATGTTTCATGAAACCATACAAACCTCCAGGCTCTTTGGGACACAAAGAAGAGACATCTGCTGACTCTATGTCTTGGACCAACCTACAAAGAGAAGAATAATTGATAAATCCAATGTCAGCATTCTTTTCCATCTTCTCAGCACCATGGAACATTTATTCATGCATTACATCTACTGCCATCTTATAAATCACTCCTTCTTAGCACAAGCTCCTGGAAGAAGTCACCAGAACTCCCCCTGCCTAGTGGGCCTTCAGGGCCTGGTAAAGGGAATGGACACTGACTACTGGCCAACCTGGGCTTGCTGAGTCTGTACAGTTCCTGCCCAGCCACATCTCCTGTTAGAGGAAGGAATCTACTTTAGCTCAGGTCCCAGGCAGTTCCTCTGTCTGGAGCCACAACTATGTAGATCTCAGAAGGTGACTCCTACCCTCAGCTGGCATTCAGCCCAGAGTCTTGCCTTAAATTGCCAGTTAGCAGGGAGTGCTTTCTCTTCCCACTCTACCTTGAAGCCCTTTAAGGACCTTCCCAGAGTGCAGTGGTACTACCCCTCTCCACAAGTCCTTGACCCCTCCCACTCCATTCCTTTGCCAAGTCTCAGATGCCAATAAAGTTAAAAAAGAAAAAATTGCCGATTTTTCCCCAATATCCCTTATATACTTCATCATCATATTTTCCAGGTCAAATTCTACATTTATTTCTAGCAGATCATTGTCTATTGTAAAGATGTTTGGTGGGTGTGCTTAAAAGAAACAAAATTCTTCTAAGAAATAGACCTGATTGTCCACAACCACAAGATTTGTCTGGAATGAAAAAAATACAAACTATAGCTCTTGTTGTTTCTTCATTAATAGAAAGAGCAAATTTGTTTTCTATAAAATCTAAGCAAAAATTCCAGGACTGTAAGTTATAAAAACAGCTTGTCTCAAGGAGGAACTCTCTCTATATAGCTGCTGATATATACTGACTTCTAATGGATCTGTTTCAAACAGCACAATCCTGGTTTTCCAAGATGGGACACTCTCTACTTAGTTCTCTGGCACCACTACCTGAGGACAGGAGACCAATGAGAACTCTACTAGGACTATCAGGGGAAGACAGGTAGAAGTCTTAACACTTGAAAGCCTCAGCCAGAGATAGACTCTGTTTAAGTATGAACTCCTTTAAAATGAATTTAAGTCCTTGAAGTGAGTCCGTGAAGTGAAGACTAGTATGAATGGGTAAATCCAAGGCTGATCAGTCTAGCTGAGAGTAGAGAAAGTGCAGAGATCATATGTACAGATGGAGCCACAAGAACCTCATAATCTGTTTTTCTCTCTTCCATAAATTGAGGTATGGAAGGCAGAATGTACAGAAGTACCAACCTAAGACACACACACATAAACTACCCCCAATTCATATCTGAACCATTCAGGCTCAAGTACAAAGGATATCTAAGACCAGTGAAATTCTTTTTTCAATCAATATTAGAACAATAAAGTAAGAATAAAGCATTTGCTTTTGTCTTAGAGGTTTAAAGTTCTCCCCCAAAGAAACTACAAAACCAGGTCAAATTCCTTAACCAAAAATGCTAAGCTGACCAAGCCTGACACCTTATATTTCCAGTTAGCAAAATGTCAAGAGGTGGCACAAAATTTTACATTTATAATTCAGTATGAATATCAGAAAGGCAATATTAAACTTTATGACTACTTGGATTAGATATCAGTTACCAAACATTTTCACTTTGTTTTGACATATGTAAATTAATCTGTTTTATTCTGAAAGGCAAGTACATTTACTTCTAAAGGATTTGTAACCTTGTAAAACGTAAATTAACTGGGCTTCAAAATAGGAAACTTTGGGCCAGGGATTTAGCTCAGTGGCACCGCGCCTGCCTCACAAGTGTAAGGTCCTGAGTTTGATCCCCAGTACTGAAAAAAAAAAATATCAAGGGCAAAATAGGAAATCTTAAGGTTAATTTGAAGAAATAATTTCCAAACAATTGATCAAAACATACTACATAAGGAGATTTCAATTAAAGATTAGAAGAATTAAGAAACATACAAACCAATTATAACTGATTAATATTATTTGGATCCTGACTTAGATTAATTTTTTAAGTATATGAAATGGAGAAATTAGAATATTGACTTGTAGTTATAGCTTGCATCTAGATGTCCCCCAAAGCCTCATGTGCTCATAGGTGGTGCTTTTCAGAGATGGCTGGATCTAGGGTCTGTGAAAATGGATTAAGGGTGTGTGATATCTGGATTAATCCCCTATCTGGATTAGCATAGTTCTGGGTATGACTGAGTGGGACGAGGGACGCCCCACCCTGAGTGTGGGTGGCACCAATCAATAGTCTTGTAGCCTGAAAAGAATATAAAGGGACAGAAAGAAGGCAGGTTCTTTGCCTCCTTCCTGTCCTGCCATGGACTGTTTCTCCTCTGCCATGCCACCCTCCCTTGGGGCCAGCTCATTATGGACTGAAACTTCTACAACCTGTGAGCTAACCTCTTCTCCTTTAACTTGTAGGTGTCAGGTATTTTGTCTCAGCAATGAGAAAAGTAACTGAAACAACTGACTCTCTGACGACATTAAGAAATTAAGTTTTTGGTACAGTAATGATAATACTCATTATATAACATAATGATTATATTTTGAAAGAGCCCTTATGTGTTTGTGATAAACAAAGAAAGATTTATGGATGAAGTGATATGATATCTAAGATTTGCTTCAAAATAGAAGGAAGTAGGGTCATTCATGAAGCAAGACTGGCCAGGAGGTGATGGTTGTTGAAGCTGAGGATAGACACATGGAAATTCATTATTTTAGTCTCTCTACTTCTGAATATGTTTTAAACTTCCTACAATAAAAATTTTCAATGGGCCGGGGATTTAGCTCAGTGGTTTCACTGCCTGCTGCGCAAGCGCAAGGACCCGAGTTCGATCCCTGGTACCAAAAAAAAAAAATTTCAAGACTATCTTTATCTAGTACAGATCTATATTGAAATATTTAGGATGAATACAATGTCTGGGTTTTTCTTCCACGTGACATGTTTTTAAGCAAGCTGCTAAGTGCCACACATATGGCAGGAGCCAAAAATGCTGTACACGACGATATCAATTGGAAGGTTATTAAAGTAGTCCAGTTAAGAAGTGATGATGACAGTGTTGCCACACCTGCCTGGCAAGCACAAGGTCCTGAGTTCAATCCCCCCTACCAAAAAAAAAAAAAAAAAAAGAAGAAGTGATAATGGCTTGGACTACAGTGGTGGCAGTAGGGTTGATGGGAAGAAGACAAACTGGGGATATACTAGAAGTATAATTACAACAAATTACACTATGATGTGAGCATGTCTGGCTTGAGCATCAGGAGGGACAGAGGTCCCTTTATTGAAGTGAGAACTGGAAGAGAAATAATAAACAATAGTACATACTTAGACTTGCTAAATTTCAGTTGCTTGTGAAGCATCCAAGGGGAATATCAAATAGGCATTTGGATAGAGAATTCTGCAGCTCAACTAGAGATAGATTTGTGATTACCATCTGCACTCACATGATACTGGAAGCAATAGATAGAGTGTGGCAGTGTAATGAGAAGGGGGCCAGGAATATCCACAATCAGTGGCTGGATGAGAAAAGAATAGATAGAGAGACAGAAAAATACAGAGTTAAAGAAAGAAAAGAGGAATGGGTGGGAATGGGTGGCTGTGAAAACACTTCTGAGAGCTCTTGTAAGATGAAAACTAAGAATAGCCTACCCAAGAACTGTCTCACAGACTGACATGGAGTGTCAGTCTCACTGTCACTAACTGACATGGACTCAGTCCTACTACCAGGACAGGTCTAGTAGAAAGGCAAAGACACTGATGAGGCAGCACCAGATGGACAGACAAATGGAGTTAGTACAGGTTGACAGATGGACATGCAAGTGATGCAGACATCAACAGAAGAAAAAAATAAACAGAGACAGGGTGGCATTAGTGGATGAGAAACAGGAAAATCCCTAGAACAGCAGGCCAGAAACCAATATAGCTGTACTCACCCTTGGAGCTCCCCAGCATGGGCCACACATGAATCTAGCTGGAAGCTCCAAGCACAGGCAGGGTCCTGGGCCAGGATACACTCTGAGCAGCTCAGGAGACGACCACAGTTGATTGTGTTCACTTGTGTCACCTCAGTACGGGAGCCAACCAGGAGCCAGCCCTATAGGAAGGGAACAGGGAAGGGAAATATGCTGGATGTCTCAGACCTCAGGGTCACCTGTCTCTACACTCCAGTGTCTCCCTACCGGATTTCTCTAAATCTGTAACTCACATGGTATAATTTCATGTTTTCAACTGGCTGTGGCTCTGGGAACAACGCCAGATCCTCAAGGACACTAAGCTGGGCTCCAATGCATACTGCTCGGTGCAAGTGTCCATCCTCTAGGAGACAAGAAAGGGATAAGAATAATGGCCTAACACCCCTGTGCATGGGAGTCTGATGCCTGTATATATTAGAGGGTCCTCTCTGTGATGAGAGTATACACTATATGGCAACTTGTTTGACTACTAAATATACCTGTACCCAGGTAGAGCACATCATACTCTTTCCCTGAGAGGCTAGTCACCCTGTGGGCCACCACTCTGAGATAGGCTGTATCCGTAGTGACCAGCAGGGGATGACCATCAGCGGGAAACACTGGCCTGTCCATGAGTGGGTGATCCCGGATGAAGGTGAGCACTCGATCAGGCAAGGAGAGTGATGACCCAAACTGCTGGAGCTTCATGTTCTTGGTGATACACTAGAACAAACATAGGTCTAGGTGACAAAGTTTCTCAGGGAACAAAGTGTCAGTGATATTTAGCTCAGCTCTTGCCTTGAGGGCAACTCTTTAATTTAGCCCTGGGTTGAAGACCCAGCCTGGCTCCCTCACCTCTCCAGGTCTGGGCTGGGGCACATCATTGTCCATGACAGGTAGTCCCCTGTTGCAGTCATGTTTTAGCTCTCTGAATGAACCATTCAATACTGTCCGAATGTCTTGGGGTCTGAAGGCACAGATAGCAGAGATGGCAGCCCCTTCCCTGGAAAAGTTATAGGTTCAAAGAATATACCTATAGGGAGCTAGAGAACACCAATTTATCTCTTATCAAATGAGATGACCCCAAGAATCACACAGGCAGCCACACAGCCAAGGGAGAGAGTCTATCACACTCTGAGGGAGACATCAATGACACGGTGCCAATCTCATGGTCTCCCACCTTATAACTCTCCACACCAGCAACCCTCACCACTGGGAAGAGAAGATGCCATAGAAGACGGGGGTTCCTATTCCAAGATCAGGTCGAAGCTCAGCCATGTCCTGCAGGACAGTGGAGGCTCGGCCATGCTCAGGGCCTGGACACAGCAGGTCAGCCTTCAGGAATGTTGTCCACCTTTGCTGAAGGGTCTTCCGGCCCCCAAGGTCCCCCTAGGGTGACAAGCACATGGAAAATTCTCTTTAGAAGGCTAACATTGAGCACGGAGCATGGAAACCAATGCAAGTTTCCTCCTTGACTTCAGGGCAGACACAAAGATGGGGAGACATGCATAGAAATATAAGAACAGACATACAGACAGAGAAACTGTAGGGATATGAGATTCAGGAGTTGATAAGGTCATAATAAGAATGGCAGTAACTAAGTCAATTGTGCACTTATTATGATGTGTTTTATTAAGTTACCCCATATAATCCTCAAAACAAGTTACCCCATTTAGTCCTCAAAACAACCTAGGTCAGCATCACTATTATCTTCAGTCTACAGATAAATTTCAACTGTGCTATAAAACCCACCCAGGTAAAAGCAAGTGGTGTAGCAGGACTTAAACCTGGGTCTGTCTGCCACTGGTTCCAGCCTTTATCTTCTACATTCGTCCACCCTTAGGGACAGGAGGGGTCTGAGAGGCCAGACATTCCTCAAGTTCCCAGGAAAGAAGGCAGAGAACAAAGAAGACAGAGGAGAAATGCAAAGACAGAGGCCCAAAGAGGAAAAGACACGAGTACAGACAGCAGGAGATGACAAATAGCCAGAAAAGGGTCTTACCGCACACACACGGGCCACCCGTGGGACCTTGATGTGCTCATATGAGTCAAATGTTCGGGAAGTCTCCGTAAAGAAGAAGTAGATTTCGTCATCACCATCTTCATCCCCCCACTCGGCTGGACTCAGGGCCACGGCTTCGACAAAGGCTGGGGCTGGGGAGACCAGTGGCCTCAGATCTCCACAGACACAGCCTGGGGCCACCCAGCCTCCACCCTGCCTGTACTTCAGGGGACTCTGTCTCCCTCTCCCCACCATTAAGCCAGGCTGGCAAGGTCTCTGTGCGAATCCAGTCCTCAGCGCGACCCACAGCCCGGGAGATAATTGGCTCCGTCCCCAGGTAGTTTTTCACAGTGGCAGCATAGAGAATCCCCCCTGTAGGGTGACAGGGAGGAGATGGGCTATCAGAGACCCACAGAGGGAAGCAAAGGTGGTTACAGGCAGGGAGGAGCAGGGAATAAAGCAAAGCAGCAACTCTCAGGCCTGAATGCCCACCAATGCCAGAAACCACTAAGCACATAACAGGGATCAGTTTATGATAAACATACAAATAAATTTACAAATAAATTAGGGAATAAAGCAAAGCAGCAACTCTCAGGCCTGAATGCCCACCAATGCCAGAAACCACTAAGCACATAACAGAGATCAGTTTATGGCAAACATACAAATAAATTAGCCTAGGGAAGTACAGAAACCAATGTGAAGAAAATACTGTGCCAAAACGTTCACTGGTATGAAGGAAGAATAAAGGGCTCCCTGGTAGAAATCAGATTGTGTCTTGAGTTTTTTGTTGCTAGTGTAGTTACTCAGTAATATGCTTATCATCCTGTGACCTTCGTGGAGGGGCACTGGCTTTGTGGCACATTCCAGTATTACTTAAGTTTTCCACTATGGTAAAGTCAGGGAACTCGTTTTCTGAGTATCAGTAGGCATACACTGCTCTGGAAAAAGTCATAACTCTAGAGTACACTAAAATCACTTGGGGGCTTAATCAAAATACAAATCCCTGAGCCCAGAAATTCCTATTCAGTAGAGTTAAGGGGTATCTCAAAAACCTGAATTGCAAACAAGAAATCAGAATTATTCGATGCAAGTGGGTCAGGCCTCAGTTTGAGAAAATTTGAGAAAAAACAAGCCCAGGGGATAAATGGGGCTTCACAGACAGCAGAGAAAGCAGCAAAGGAATTGGGTCCTCTATCCTGTACAGTGGAGGGGCAGACACACTCCAGGAATGCTGGGGATTTGAGAAGAGATCAGTCACTCTGGGATGGAAGGGAGGCACAATTCTTTGGGCTAAATAGGAAAGAACTACAGCCACCCTAATACTGCCAAGGACTCAGACATGAGTAGGAACATAATCAATCAGTGTAGTAGAAAGTCATGGACCCCTGGAGCAGTCCTGAGCATCACAAGTGCCCTGAAGAGAGCAAGATGACATCCTTTCACCACCTATAACATCCTTTCACCACAAGGCACTATGTTGGGTGGTGACTATGTTACTGCCCTCAAGAATTCCCATTTGAGCCAGGAAGACAAGCATATAGTCAGACACTAGGAGGTTGGAACTAGTAGAAGAGGGCAGCAGGGTTACATAGGAGGATCAAGCTACATCTACCTAGGAGAAAGCATGTCTGAAGAATGAGAAATCTGTCATACAAGGGGAACTTTGGGGAGAAAGACAGGCATGCAGCAAAGAGGGGAGCCATATGAATGCTGGTGGAATACTAGTGGCTGAAGCCCAAAGGGGCAGAGGGGGCTGCCAGGCAGGGCAGGTGAGCAGAGATAATGATGGATGGGTGGAGTTGGTCTCCCAGATTGTGAAGAATCCACTCTGCCATACCAGCAACATGGACTGTGTCCTACAGGGAAAAGTAAAATGGCAGGGGTATTTTTTAAGAGAAGAGTAACATAACCAGTTTTTTTTTTTTAGAAGATAATACTATTTGCAGGCCATTCACACAATCCAGGCAAGTGTAAAAGGACAGAACAAACACAAGGCAGAGAGGATAAAGGAGGTGGACTTAGAAGATATTTCTGAAGTAGAATCCATTAACATGATTTGAAAGTCAATTGAATGTGAGATATGACAAAATGGAGTAAAATAATGTCTCTTAAGCTTACACAGCTGATGACAGTAGATTATAATATTACTCAAGCCAGAAAATGATAGGAAAGGTCCATGAAGGAGGCAGTGGAGGGGAAGTGAGTTCCTCGGCCATACTAAGGTAAATATGCCTTCAGGACATGGGTCAGAGACACTAGAAAGGATTTAAAGAGAAGGGTCTGGGAAACAGGACCAGAGTCAGTAACTTGAGAATCATCACACATCCTGTTTAAGTTACAAGATGAACAACAGGAAGGCAATAGGGAGAAAGGCAAAATGAGACAAAAGTCCTCCGTTTAAGTGAAGGAGGAGCTGCTGCTGACTAGGTCAGAAAGCTGGAGAAGCAAGAAGACTGCTGTGCTGGGAGCTGGTAAATGGGGGCCTTAGCAAGATCTTTCAGGACTCATGCTTGCTAGGAAAGCAGAAGAAAGCCATATGGAGGGAAGAATAATCACCCTAGGCCACACATGCTCAGAAAAGTTGCATGTGGGAGGCACTGGTAAGATAACTGACCTATGAAAAACAGAGCAAAAAAGGCCCAGGAGGACTCAGGGCAGCAGTGGCGGTGTGGGAAACCTCTTTAGGGAATGGAAAGGGAGTCTGTTCTATCATTTGAGATTGTGGGACTGAGTTTGGTGGCATACATCTGTAATCCCAGCATTTAGGAGACTGAGGCAGGAGGACTGCCATGAGCTCAAGGCCAGTGTAGGCTACATAGAAAGTTCAATGCTGATCTGAACTACATGTTGAGACTTATCTCAAAAAAAAAAAAGGAATGAGATTGTGGAAAGAATCCAAGTGATTTGGAACCAGAAAGACTTTGGTTTGAACCCTGACTACTACTTGCTGTATGATACTGGGCAAATTAACTTTCTTAAACGTCAGGTTCTTCAAATGTAGAATAAGGATAACACCACCTTCCACTCAGAGAAAGTGCAGAAGGTTCAATGAGATCAACAACTACAGAGCCTTGTCTAGGATCTGGCACATGGTCGGCATTCAATACACATTAGTTACAGCTCCTTATGAAACCTCAAATAGCTATATGCTATCAGAAGGAAAAGGGGAGCTACAAAATGACATCTCATTCCCTTCCAGAGAATTTCAGAAAAAAAAATATTGAACATAGGTCCTAGCAGTAAATGGGGCAGTAAATGAGGCAACGCTTTGTACTTCCAAGAGGGAAAAATGTTGATAGAGAAGAGCTGGATTGAAAATTTTTCCTAACAGCACAATACATAGAATACCCTAAAGCCAAACTCTCACAGAATCTGTGTGGTGGACACCTGAAGACTGAAAGAGATGTGGAACAGGAGACAGTTACATTTATTTTGAGAATATGGCTTAGAGTATAAAGTTGGAGGAAAATAATCATTAATATTCTAAATACTGTAAAAAGACTATAGATCAGCATGCAAAAACCCAACAATGGATGGAGGTAAAGGGTCCCAAAATGTTCTAAGGGATCAGTGGGGGAGCTAGCAACACTGGAACCTAGAAATGCAGAAGAGAACACTCAAGGTAAAATAACAGAAGGTCACTGACACCACAGGACTGCAGGATGGATCAGACACATTGGGAGGAAGTAGCAGAGCATAAGTGCTCCAGGAGCACCAAGGGAATGTGACAGTCTTACACACACACACACACACACACACACACACACAGAAGACACAGCAGGCATTACAGTCACGAGGCCAGGATGACACAGGACCACTATGTAACCTAGATTTTCCAAGACACTATCAATTCCCAATTCCAGTACAATGGAATTGCAATGTTCATATAATAAAATATCCCCGAACATGTAATCATTTGCCAAATTTGTGCTCAGTGGATCAAGTCCATAAAAATTAAAATACACAGCTGAGTGTTAGTAAAAGATTATGTGCAAAACAGAGTGATGCCCACAGTTAAATTCAGTGGACAAGCTAGTTAGGGGGAAAAAACCCCACTGGAGCTAATTCAGCCCTGTTTTTAAAAAATACATATACTATCCACAGACATAGAAAAGATTTTTGAAGAAGCTGTAACTCTACAGTGATGATGTATCTTTATGATTAATGGAATCAGAAGTGATTTTTTTACTTTTTTATATTCATTTTTTGTACTTAGCTTTGTAACCTCAATAAGATACTTCATTTTAGAAATACAAAAACAAAAGATTGAAAGCCACAAAACATGAAGAATCATAGGCAAAGAAAAAAACCACAATTATGTGTGAAAATGGATCCCTACTTGTGCAGATAGAAAGCCTGTGAACCCAGGCCTCCCAAAAGTGTTAGTACCCCAAAACTGACATGCTAGGATGTATGGCATGACAGGGAATATTGAAACCATGGAGGTTTCAATTTTCCATTCTGATGGCAAAATGCTCACTTTGAGGGGAGAGGTACTGGGAATTGAACTCGGGACGTTGCACTTGCCAGGCAGGCACGGAACAACTGAGCTACATCCCTGGCCCCAAAATGCTCACTTTTAAAAGGAGAATTTAAAAGGAGCCTTTTCAAAGAAGCATAAGAATTACATGTTCCTTAGTTTTCAAAAGATTTTAAACATGCTCTGGCCCTGTTTTTTGCACCCCTTTTTCTCCTCAAGTTCAGATTCTTTTTAGGGTAGATACCTCCTACTTTAATGTTCTCTATTTCCTTATCTACGGATTGAGCCAGGTGAATACTTTTTTTTAACAGCCTTTTAGTAAGCCATAATTAGATCACTGAAGATGCAGTGTTTTCTGGATTTAAGAGGTAGGGTTGGCCCCCAAAAGGTACCAGCAGCCAGTGCATCTGCAACAATTCGCAGCATTTCTTGCCAATGCATTATCACAAGATACACTGAAAGCAGTGGATAAAAAAAAAGCACAGGATGGGTTTCCAAAGAGCTTCTGCTCATCTTGATGAAAGCTTGATTTACTACAGGATATGGAAGGGAGGAACCAAGACAGACTGACTGCTGGCTGTAGTTTGAGTACCTAGGTAAGTAGTAGCACTGTGCACTCCGACAAAGAAATGCTGGTAGAGGAGCAATTTTGGGGAAAGTAAGCGAAGATGATGATTTTGAGATTCCTGTGGGACATCCAAGTCTGAAAGATGTCTGAAAGGCAGCTGAAAGGCAGATGTCTGAAAGGCAGCTGGATATGTGGTTTATACCTCGATAATGTCTGGGAGGCAGATACAGATTGGGGAAGCACCAAAATGTGGCAGAAAAAGAAACAATGGGGCTGGTTGAGATCACAACTACATTGAGCAAGGAGTTGCTTGGTGGCAGCCTAAGGAACCCTAACACTTAAAAAATGAGCAGAAGACAAAAAAACCTACCAAGGAGACTGAGAAAGACTCACCAGTGATTTTAGGCTAAATGTTACTGTCAAAGTACATTCTTCCAGAAGGAAAAAATAGAAACAAAGCTTCTGTACATAGGAAGGGGAGGGGGCTTAAAGGGGGGAAATTGGATAAAATAAAATTTATTTTTAAAAATATATTCTTCCAAACTTGAACAGTACAAATAAAGACACTGAGATCATTTTGCTAATTTTATCTAAGGGCAGTATGGATAAATGCCATATTTGAAAACTAGACTTATGAAGCTTTTCCCAAAAGACATTCAAATCCCAATAAATACATGAAAAATTATTCACCCTCACTAGCAGAAATGCCAAACAGAATACAGCAGAGGAAGCCACTGTTATTTTGTATGTTTGGTAACTATATTACTTGGAACTTACAAGGGTGAAATGAAACAGACTCATCACTGGTGGTAGGACTAACTAGAGGCAATTTATCAAAATCCATCAACCACCATCAAAATCTTTACACCCTTCAACCTAACAATTCCACATACTGGATTGTCTTATATGCCATTTATTAAAGTCACATAAAGGACTGACTTAACAATTGTATAAAAGGATTTTGGTTGCAGCATTCTTTATATGACCAATAGTTAATTTTAAAAGTGGAATGCATAATTACATGGGAATATCATCCATGTGAAAGAAGAATATGCAATTACTACAAACTATGTTTTGAATAATTATACAATTTCTATGATAGGAAAATGCTTAATATTAAATGAAGTAAGCATGATAATTCCTCCTTATTTATAAATGCACACATACACATAGACAGACACAGTAAGAGAAAATATTCAGTATACTCCATAATAACAGTAATTACCTGGTGATGATAAAATTTTCACTTTCTTCTTTATATATTTCTAAACTTTCTACAATGCACATTGTAATTTTTATAATGTAAATAAATACTTCTGGTATTATAGCCCAGTAACATTTTCATTACTAAAAATTCTTTTTTTAAAATTTCAAAATACCTCTATTTTTGTTAAAGATAGTTTTACAAAACTAACTGGGAATTTTGGGTTAATTCTTACATACTGTTTGGACTAGTTTCTATATTGATATTTTCAAAACAGAAGGACAATAGAACATAATGGATCAATACTAAAAGTGAATACTGCCACTTAAGAAGTACAAGAAAAAAATTTTAAATGATAGCCCTATAAAGCAAGAACTACAGACAAAATTTATAATACTGGTATTGACTGTGACTGGAATCTGAGGCATCTGGAGACACAGAGATTCTAATTGGGGATAGCCGTTCTAAGCTAAAAAATGTGTTCTGATAACTTCTATCAATTGCCAGTTGAAAGACAATCCTAAATTTTTTTCTTTCTTTGGCCAACCCAGAATGTTATCATTTGAAAAAAGAAGACTGAAATGCTCTCTCTTTCCACTTTGTCATACAGCAACTTTATTTATGAAATTTGTCTTCTTAAATCACATCCTAATATGAATTCATTTGCTGATTAAACAAAGAGAAATTATGCAGTCACAATCCTTAAAGATTACTACTTGAAACAAAGCATGTTAATTGATTACTTTGGATTATTGCAACTGAGAAGTCATTTCTGTTGACAATTCTGTAGAATCAAGAGATATTTATGACTAAAACTTAGCAATCTTTCTTAATGATTCCAATTAATGGCTCAGAGTTTTTGCCAAAAATGTTGATAAAAGCCAAGAAAAATATTTACTAAACTTTTGTTTTATTTACTAAACAGGTATGAGTAATCGCTTCTCAGCCTAATGAGTAATCGCTTCTCAGGCTAAGATAAAGTGTAGTATCAAATATGTATGAGTATAAACAAGATCTCATCAATCGCAGCAGTAGATAATAATTATGACAACTCAAACTTTGTGTTTACTTACCATGTACATTATGCTACTTTCAAAAAATTTTACATTATTTTATTATTTTTGGTACCAGGGATCAAACTCGGTACCTTGCACTTGCAAGGCAGGCGCCGGAACCACTGAGCTAAATCCCCGGTTTATTTTATTATTTTTCAGAAAAGGAAAGTCATTAACTTACATGTGACTTACACAACTAGAGAATGATTTAATCTGTATAGCTTTTAAGACTTTTCCTAAAATAAAGTTATACATAAGAAAAATTTTCATTGGTAGATCCTGTGTCCCAATTTTTAATTCACATAAAATACTGTTCAGAAGTACATAAAATATCAATTTTATGATAAAGTTGGCAGCACAAGTCAGTGAAGAAAGAAAAACAGTATAATTAATGTCACTAAGTAACTAACTACTAGCTAGGAAAAATTAACTTAGATTCCCTATCTCATACCATTCATCAAAGTTAATTTTAAATATATCAAAGAAGAAATTTTTGAGAAAAAAATTAAAGGAGAAAATTTCTTATCTGCTCTCTACATGCAGACAGACTGAACTTTGAAAAATATAACTTGGATCCCAGTTCTCTGGAAGGCTAAGGCAGGAGGACTGCAAGTTTAAGCCCAGTCTGAGCAATTCAGCAATTTAGTGAGACCCTGTCTCAAAATAAAAAGTAGACAAAAAGGTCTGGGAATGTAACTCAGTGCAAAGGATTCAATCCCCAGTACTGGTGATGGTGGTGGTGGTGGTTGTGGTGGTTGGATAGACAGATCTCAAAGCAAAAGGTATGTAGGTCAGAACACTAGTATTCTACCAGTAACTGCCCCAAGGATATAAACAGAGGATTTGATAAGGAAGAAATAAAAATAAGCACTAAAACATGAAAAATGTTCAACTTCACTAATGTTCAAAGAAACACAAATTCAAATAATATACCATTTTTAAGTCTCAAATTAGCAAAGATTTTTAAATTACAATATATTATGGTGAAATTTACGTGAGAAAACAAAACACTCATATATTTCTGGCTTAGGGTGTAAATTGGTACACCCTTTCTAAAAACTCAATTAGCAACAGATAATGAGCCATAAATGTTCACACCCTTTGCTATATTAATCCATTTCTAGGATGATCTAAAATGAGGACAAAAAAATATGAACAGTCACCAGGTGTCGTGGCGCATGCCTATAATCCCAGCAATTGGGAGGCTGAGACAGGAGGATGGCCCTGAGTTCAAGCGCACCCTGGGCTACATAGTGAGTTCAAGGCCAGCCTGAACTACATAGCCAGACCCTGTCTCAAAAAACAACAACAAAAATATGAACAAAAATATTCACTACAGCAATGTAGATAATAACAAAAACTTTGGAGTAAACTAAATAAAATAACAATTTGGAATTGCTTAATTTATGGTATGTTCAGAGAATGAGTAACTTGATCCCATTAAAAATTAACTTTACAATTTCAGAATTATAAAGAAATTCCTACCATATAAAGTTATACGACAAAATTCAAATTCATATATATAAAGTATAAAAGTGTTATATAAAATTTCCATTAATCTGCTTTATAACACTATCACGAGAAAACATCTAGGTTTTCAATGAATTTGGAGGGTATATGTGGGGTGGTATAACCTAAAATACAGTATGAGTCACAAAAACAATTTGCTCTCTGGCTACCAAAGAATTAGACAGTCATTCTCCAGAAGAGATTCAGGCATGATCTATGATGAACCATTCCAGACTTGCATAATTGTAGATGGCTTGGTCAAAGGAAGCAACCACAGGAATGTATTTAACAGTCATTACTGATTCCCCTGAACAACAAAGCACCAGGTAGTAAACTGTATGTGCCTATGTGTATATGGTTGTGCACAGACACATTTAAAAGGCTAGAAAGAAATAAACTAAGACACTAGCAGTGGTTTTATAAGAAGAGATATTCTAGAACTGCCTTAATATGGTAGCCACCAGGGCCAGGGATTTAGCTCAGTGGTTCCGCCGCCTGCCTCAAAAGCTCAAGGTCCCAAGTTTGATCCCTGATACCAAAAAAAAAAAAAAAAAGAATATGGTAGCCACTAGACACATGGGGCTGTTTATATAAAATTAAATTTAAAATGGCTTCCTTTAGTCACAATAGTCACATTTCAAGGGCTCAACAGCCACAACAGCAAGTGGCTACTGAATTGGACAGTGCAGATGTAGTACATTTCCATCATCATACAAAGACATTTTAGACAGTGCTGTTCTAGACTTATGTTTTTCTTAATGCTTTTTCCAAATTTATTACAATATGCATTGTAGTAGATTCTTCTTTGGTCCCAAGCACTCAGGGAAGAACAAGGAAGGCAATAATGAAACTTATAAAAAAGACTAACTCTTAATAAAAAAAAAAAAAAAAGAAAAAAAAGAGGAATAACAAACACTCCAAGGAAAGAAATGACATAGAAATTCCAACAGCAGGGGTGGGGAAGGAAGCAATTAGAGCAAGAAATCACATGATCTTGTCTCTCCCCACTCACCAGCCATTACAGCTGCTGACCGCTGAGCTGGCTCAAAAGGACATTTCCCCCGGCCACTCTCAAGTCTTTCAACCTGCTGGAAACTGGACACATCCTACAGATCATAAGGGGGCAAATGGTTTAGGGTCATGGGGAAAGGTTTATGGTGAGAAGTACAAAGATCGTCAGATGAAGGAAGACAATGCCCATCCATGTCCCTCCCCTGACTACTATCCCCACCATCACCTACTTCTAATTCTTCTACATAGTCCTCATTTCCTGTCTCTGCTATCCCTTTTGCATCAGTTTATTGCTTTTTCCTTAATTCCTTTAGTACCTGTCAGCCACGTGCCCTGATAAAGGAGCACCTAGGATGGTCCTAGAAAATACTGAGGCTGGATGAGGTATTTCTGCTGGTGCACTACTAACTGTAGAGCTTGCAATTTACTAAATAATGTTCTACAGAATGAAGAGGATCAGGGAACATAGCAGCTTCCTAAGGGCTGGACCTCTAAGGAAGGTCAAAGAAAACTGCAGGCTGATAGAGGATCAGCTGAAGTCCAGGGATCTAGAGAGAAAAGGACCATCCTCCCCCTATTCCTACACCAAGGGTGAAAGACAGGCCTAGAGTCATATATCCAAGTAAGGAAGAAAAACCACAAAGTCAGTGAAGAATGACCTGAAGCGCAGATCTGAATTTGAGAATCTGATAGGTAAGTATATTCCTCTTCCACAGACTTCAGAGGAACTGACCTGGGTAGGATTCAAGAGTTCCAGCGGGGCCAGCCAGAAGTTACCTTAGTCTAGCATCCTAGCTAGAAGAGGTGTCAAGATAGTATCTAAAGATGGAAATCAAGGATGATTTCAACCTAGGACTGAAAAGGAAGTTAACTGTAGCTGGTTGGGAATCAAAGTTATGACATGGAATGCAGGCATGCTATCTCCAGCTCACTAACTGGGTGGACATACAGTATGGCTACAGCTTAACTTCTTTGATGTTAGCTGGAAGCTTAACATATATAAACTACTGGCCCATTCAGATTGCTCATCTCTTTGCTGTAAATGGCAAACAAGGTATTTTACTCAGAAGCTCTTAAAGGCAGTCTATTAAAATGAGATATGATCTGGGGTCCCCAAAAAGGGGATATTAGGTCAAAAGACCCTACTGGAATGGAACACCCCTCAGAGGCACAAGTATTTCACTTGTGTATCAGGGGAGCACCCTCTCCTGAGAAGAAAGTTAACAGTTCTGCAATTAGCAAGATTAGCAAAGAGTTCAGGCTCTGGAAATGGAGGTTATCACCTGCTCCTGTCCCTCTTCACTCTCCCCTGAATCTCCCAGTAACCTCTTTTCGCTATGCTATCTAGCCCTACCTCCACTTTGTATATCCACCCCAGTTTTACTCTCCAAAGTATCAGCCACTTACCAGACAGTAGAATTTTGAGCATGAGTACAAAAAGGCCCACTGCCTAGAGTATAAATTCTGATTTGATCTATTTATTTTCCGCTACATCTTAAAATAATCTCTATTCTACCCAAATCAAATCATCTAATCCTGGAAAACATGTTTTCCCATATCTATGTCTAAGAGCTTTCAGTTTTCCCTCACATTTCACCAAAGACTAAAAATATAAGCCTTTTCTCAGTTCTCAATCTCTCCCACCTTTATGCACCATTTGACACTTGATTCACTGTCTTCCTTGAAATACTCTATTTTTTGGCTCTTGAAACTCTACCTTTCTGGAGTCCCTATTCCTACCAAATTATTGTTTCTCTATCTCTTCTTTAGTACCTACATGTGCATCTTTAAGACCTATTCAAAGTCCTTTTCACATATCCTTCAAAAGTCCCATTCATGGGCTGGGGATTTAGCTCAGTGGTTTCCGCCACCTGCTGTGCCCGAGTTCCAAAAAAAAAAGTCCAAAAAAAAAAAGTACCAAAAAAAAAGTCCCATTCATTCTTATATCTCCAGCCCTTCTATGTAAATCATTCCCTAAAATCTGAGTCTAATGTTTTCCAAACCCTAGTCCATGTTTTCGTTTGACTGCTAGACTCTCTCGGAGAGATCAACTATCAACTCCTTAAAAGTCAGCATGCCAAAAGTAGTCTCCTTCCAGTTTCTCCCATCTTTCTTATCCTTCTCATCCTCCCAGTCCTTCTTATCATTGAGAAAATGAGCTTCTCATTAAAATACTAGATAGGCTCTGATTACCTTGCAGTCAAAATGACCTTTCGCTCCGGCTTCAAAGGGGCAAGACCTTTCCACTATATTCTCTATTGATATGTTTAGATTTGTCACTGTATTATTGTGTCAGTCAGCAGAATCTCCCAAAGATCAGCTGTAGTGAAGGCAAGTCCCACAAGGTGAAAGCCAGGGCTAAACAGGAAGGCTCTCATTAAGCAGTGAGGTTGGAACTGGTCCTCTGCCCTTTGTCAAGAAGGGAAGAAGGCATATAAATACAAAAAAGAAAAGAAAGATAGTCCCTGATACATGAAACATGTCACATGCCACAAGAAACTGAGGCCAGATAAGGTCTTCTGGGCTACAGGCTGGATTAGTGACACAGAGTAGAAGAAAAGAGCCAGACAAATCTAGACTTAGATTTTGGCTCTGTTTCTTCTAGCTACAGAATCTTAGATAGGATAGCTATTTCCTCTAAACTTCAATTTCCTTGCTTACAAAATGGAAATAAATAATACTTAAGTATCATCATGAAAATTAAGCCTAATCATAAATGTAAAGTACTAATACCAAGCCCACAACCAAGTGGTCATCATTGTTGTCACTGTTAGAAGCCTAACATTTTTCTCTGTTAACTGCTGGAATTTCCTCAACAAATCAAACTAACATATTTTCCTCCAATGTCTGATGAGATAACATTGAGGGAAAGCACTCCATTGTTAGAAATGGTAGATCCAGTGTTTCAACTTCCTTTTTGTAAGAATCTCATTTCAGGGCCAGGGAGTTAGCTCAGTGGCACCCCGTGCCTGCCTCAAAAGCACAAAGTCCTGAGTTTGATCTCAGGTACCCGGCCCCCAAAAAAGAATCCCATTTCAACATGAACAATTCTGAGCAAGTTGTTGTGTCTAGATCAACCCTCTCAGAAAAAGTTATATATAGTCTCTGCATCATCAGTTTAGGACATGAGAAGTTCAAGCACTAAGTTAAGAACTTTGCGAAGCAGACTGAGATTGCCAACTGGGATAAGACAGGTAAAAGCAAAAGAGAATGTTCAAAAAGTCTATAGAGCAGGCTCAGGATATGGCTTGAATAACCATAACAGAACTGCCTTCTTTCTCCTACAAATGATCTTTGACCAAGAATAGCCCCTCATTTCATGAGTCTGCTCTACAGGAGGGTTCAAAGAGCCAAACTGGAAGGAGTACAAGACACAGAACCTGGCTTCATTCTGTGTTGCTGATGTCCTTCAAGAATGGATAGAGGTCCAATTCAAGTCACACAAATCCTAATAGATATGTCCAGAATATTTTCTATCTAGAGACCTTATCTAACAACCATTTGGTCACAAGGAAAACCAGAAAACCCTACAACACTATCTTGATGATCACACTGTCTCTAGCCCATGGCTCTGATATTCACATTCATGTGATCCATGAGCCTGTGTAGACCAGAAATGACCACATATGGCAATGACAACATCACTACTGCTTTGTAAGCTTGTTGAGAACTGTAGGAAAACTAGAATCTCAACATTACCTGATGGAATGTAGGGATTTTTTTATACCACCTTGAAGTGGAAAAGCATACCAGGATGAGGGAGCTATCCAGGCTTTTCTAAGGAGCCCATCACCCACATTATGGAAAGGACTCAACACAACTCCAACCAACCCCAGGGCTCACCTAGAGGGACTAACTGTAGCAATCCAGCATATACACTTATACCCTCCTGAGCCAAAGATATGAGGATGGTCTACAATGAAGAGAGGTTTAGAGATACACATTGACTAGATCCAGCTGGATTATTGGATCACTGAAAACTACAGACGTATACAGTCAAGATCTACAGTTAAGGATCAAGATCAAGAAAGGAGATGCTGGGCCGAGGATTTAGCTCAGTGGTTCTGCCACCTGCCTCAAAAGCGCAAGGTCCCAAGTTCAATCCCCGGTGCCAAAACAAAAGAATGAAAGGAGATGCTGTATTCCACTGGATACAATGGACATGTGAGGTTTTTAACCCACACTAGAGCCTATATACAAGTGTGTGTTGCCAGAGGACTAGTGCTGGCTGCTGTATAACTGATGGGGAAAGCTGAGAGTTTAAGAACAGTCACCATCCCAGGGATTCATGTGGCCATGACCAGAGGAGTAAACGTGTCCCAAGACTGCTTGGGTATGAGGATGGTGAAGCCCAGGCCTTCAGCAGTAATGAACCGGATCCAAAAGAAAACATGGCTGACAGAGTGCTTACCCTGAAGGCAAGATTCAAAATATGGGTCTAGTAGGTATCACATTAGTGGGCAGTGACATCACAAGGCAGAGAGCAGAGAGTCATATCCCACAGAATGAGGGTGCAAGTGGAGGTGAGGGAAGGTGGCAAGAGAGTTACAAGCTATTAGGGAAAGAAACAGACATTCGCTACACTAAGAAACAAATGCAGACATCCTGGCCAAAGCATTCACAGGGAAAGGGAAATAGGAGTTCCTGGTTTCTGAAGTTTCTTGAATTTGTCCTCCCCACTCCCCAACCAGCATCCCTAACTTCTTTCCTAACTGTCCTACTACATCTCTTTTTATACTTTGTACACCTCACCCTCTACAGACAACCTCCCTCTCCCTCTGCATGCTACCCTTCCTGTGAAGACGTCCCCTTCCCCCAACGCTTATCATGCATAGTGGTTGACTTAAGCACACCCAACATGATCACTCACTGAAAAGCCTTCCCATCCTCCCACTCACCACCCCCAAATAACTCACACTGGTGCAGGCACTTTCTCCCTCTTCTCCCACCCCTTTCACTCACAATAACCCCGCACTTCGGATCAAAAGCGAAGGTGCCACAAGTGAGGAGGTGAGAGGCATTGGCAATGACGAGAATCTGGACAAAATTGTGACATTCATCCTGGGGGTCAGAGATGGTTAGAGAGAATCAGAAGCAGCAAGTATGCAGAAGGTCAGCTAGCTTCAAGACAGTTAGACGCAGCTCTGGGATCAGGGATGATGGGTGATGGCTTCATCCCTGCCTGGGCCCATTGTGATGGGAGCAACAGGGGACAGACAGCAAGTCAGGGCTGGATCAAGGACTCAACAAAAACACAGGACAGGGCCAGAATTTATACCTACCTCTTTCTTGCCTTTCTTCTTACAGTTCTGTCTGTGAGCCTCAGGCACCATCCAGTCAATCTGAGAAAGGAGAAGTGGCCATTTTCCTCAGATTCCTTCTACCTTAAACTCCCTCAAGATCAAGGTGGGGTGAAACAGTTCCATAACCTCCCTCAATTTGGGAACTTCTGCGATCCCTCTAGAGCACTGCTTTTCAAACTGGAGGTCACCACCCAGCAATGAGTAATAAAATCAATTGTGACCACAAACCACATTGTTTTTAATGAAATATAATAGCACGTATCAGAATGTATCACATAGAAACTACTGTGAGGAGGAAACTTTCTTCAGTACATGTCTGTGCACTGGGACACAATACTAATGGGTAGCCAAAACAGTTTGAGAGCTGCCTCCTAGAGTATGGCAATTGTAATAATCCATCTGCCCACTCTTCCCTGAAACCTGATCACTGTGGCCTCATCATCATCATCATGAACCTCCCCAATAGCTTCCTCAGTCACCATGACTCCCCATCACGCTCAGCCAAGTCAATGAAAAGACAACCCCTCTATCATGACAATTATATCTTTAGTAATGAACCCTCCCACTACTGCCCATAAAACTTTTTTTTTTTTGGTGCTGGGGATGGAACTTGGGACCTTGCGCTTGCAAGGCAGGTGGCAGCACCACTGAGCTAAACCCCAGCCCTATAAAACTATTAATCTAGCAAATGCTATGGGGACTGGTATCCTCCCACTCTCATCTCTCACCCTTCGGGGTCTCTCCCCTGAGAAGGGCAGAGATAAAGCGAAGATGGTGTCTCGGGCGCCGACATAAAGAGTTTGGGTAGCAGGATCCACAAGGAGAACAGAGTAATCGTATGTATGAGGGACAGCAAACCTGGTGAGATAGGCGTCAGCCTCTGGTAGGAAGAAAGGAGGAAAGAGGAAAATGGTATCAGAAGGGCAGAGCCAAAGGGGCCAATTTTTGTTTTCATCCAAGTATCATTTATTTGACAGCCATCAAAGGAAAAAACAGAGCCGTGACAGGCCAATTATCTACACTTCCTAAAAGACAGACAACTGATGAGACAAGAATATTTAGCACACAATGCAGTCAAGGATGCTTTCCTACAAAAATGAAATACTGTATGAAAATAACAGCATAATTATTAAGTCTGTAATCTCTGCTTATAGCAATGTAATACATAATTTGAAAATACAAGGTACAATACTTTCCTTTTTTTTTTTTTTTTGGTACTGGGGATCAAACTCAGGTCCTTCTGCTTGCGAAGCAGGCAGCGGAACCACTGAGCTAAATCCCTGGCCCCTTTCCTAATTTTTTAAAATCACTGCTGAATAGTAACTTCTTCTTGCTTAGAAATGCTTTATTTATTTATTCATTTATTTATTTATGATACTAGGGATTGAATCCAGGGCCTTCCCACTGAGCTATATCTCCAGCTTTTTCTTTTTTTTGATACCGGGGATCAAACTCAGGACCTTGCACTTGCGAGGCAGGCAGTGGAACCACTGAGCTAAATCCCTGGTCCTTTTTTTTTTTTTTTTTTTTGAGACAGGCCTAAATTGCTAAACCTCCCCAAGCTAGGCTGGAACTTGTGATCCTCCCACCTCAGCTTCCCAGAGTTCTAAGATCGCAGGCAGGTACCACCATGTCTGGCTGAAATGTTTCATTCTTTTACTAACATCAGGAGTCTATCTTCTCTCTTGTCTACAATCCTTGACCTACAGAGTGTATAGTGGAAAGAGTATGTGTTCCAGAAATAGCCCAGCCTGAGGTTAAATGTGGCTCTTCCACTTACCAGATGTATGATCCTGAGAAAGTTACTTGCCCTCTCTGAGTATCTTTCCTCATCTGGAAACACCACCATCCAGGGTTTAGAAAATTAAATGAGATAACATGTGGAAACACCTGGCACACACTATGATGTTTCACAAATGGTCCCTTTCTTCCTTAGGCATGGGTTGTTTTTGCCAAATACAGAACTCATACATCAGCACTTAAAAACTCTTATCTATTTAAAGATCATACAAATAACTTTTCATGAATTTACCTTCCTAGCTTATCTTTTGGCTCTGGGGATCCTACCCTTGCACCAGTAGAGCTCTGCTCTGCCTGCTTCATCTGCTCAAATGCCTCAAGACAGCAGACGGGCACCAGACCATTCATTCTGAGATGTGCTGACCTAAGCCCCACCTGCTTCATCCTTCCACATACACCCACACTCCTCTCTGCTGTACTCTTTCTACTCTCTCATGCTTAGTATAAACCCTGAATTACCCAACCTCCTTTTGTAACACCTTGCCTTCTAGACTCCTCTGGATTCCTGGACATCAACTTAGCCTGGCAACCTTAATTTACTTTGTGGCTATTGCTTCAGCAAGAATTGAAACCCCAAGCTCTAACCACACCTTTGCCTCTGGATTCATAGCATCCCTGTATGTCACTGGGCTGTGTACAGACTGTAAATTACTATTGACCAGTTGTGCGCTTTTACCAAGAGGTTGTACTTTTGGCTTCACTGGTTCTGTCTGCCCAGTGCGTTAATACTGAGAAGAAACAAGGTCCATGCCACATGCATACGCACCTCAATAGAGTCTCTAAACTGTGAGTAACCACTCTTAACCGTGAGGCATCCCTGGCTTCCTTCACGTCTTTTCAAAGAAACATGACCCTCCCTCTCCTTTTTCTTTCTGAAGACTTTCAAAATCACTTAAGCAGAACTTTAAATCAACTCACTGGTTTTCCAACATTTAATGTAGTGAATGGGCAGATGGACCAGGGAGCTATGAGGAATTTCAAAGGGTAAGGTGAATCTGGTAATAGGAGGTGGTGTCGAGAGATTCGAAAGGACTGGAAAGTCGGTTACGAAGATGAAGGTTGTGAACAGGGCAGGAGGGTTATGTGGCTGTGGGAATGTTACTGATAGGGAAGTTGGAAAGCTAGAGCTGCGGACTGAGGTTCGGATGAGGTAAGTGGTTAGATTAGAATGAAAGAATGAACGGTCTGGTAGCAGAATAGGCTTCCAACCGAAGTGATGGTGATGGATTAGGTGTATTTGCGGGTAGAACAAGAAAATAAAGGTGAGGGAAGAACAATGAAATGGACAACCTCCAGCAATCCCATTCCCTTCCTGGGCCTCAGTGTCGGTATCTGCACGGTATGGGCCTGAGGAAGCAGCCAGGGTGCGTCGTGGAAGCCGAGGTGTGAGGAGGCCCCGGCCGGGCCTGCGATGGAGTAGCACAGCGTGGGGATTTCATCCGGGTTCCAGCGGAGAGTGCGCCGTGAGACGCTGTGCAAAGCGTTGGGGCGCTCCGGACGCTGTCCCCGGGTTGGGTTTGGGGTTGGGGTGACACCTGCCGGCGAGGGGTGGGCGCGGTGCAAGGGAGGGACTAAGGGCGAGGGCGTCCGCGCCTTACCGGAGATGGGAAGCGAGGTCCTGGGAACCGAACGGGGGACGCGGCCGGACACAGAGCCACTCAACACCATGAGCAGTACCAGCGGGAAGGGTAAGGCCAGAGGCGGCCCGGGGCCCGGGCGGGGCCTTGCATCCCAGGCCAGCATCGCTGGCTCCACCTGGCTGTTGGGTGGGGCGCGTCCAGCAGCCTTCAATTTAGGGCCGTGGCGCAGTCGGGTCCCCTCGGCAGAATTCGGCTTGCGCCGCTAGATGGAACAACCCGGCTCCTGCCCCTCCAAAGGGACCAATGACGGATCGTTTTCTTCTTCAAGCCAATCATAATTGAGTAGAGGCGGGACTAAGGAGCAGAAGCCCAACCTAGGCAGAGGCAGAGCTAGACACAGTTAAAGGTGGAAGTTGTACTCGGAAGTGTACTGGCGGTGATCCTCTCGGGAGTGGCAAGTTTGCTCCAATCGCTCGAAAATATCAAATGCCAGTATCTGTACTATAGGGAAAATATGTAAGTGAGTATACGCACCAAATTCCTGGGAATTACTACCAGCGTAACACACACTCATACACACACACACACAAAGATATGACACAAAAAGTACTAAAAATCAGTCCTTACCTTTAGGGAGCTCACAGTGCAGTGGGCCCCCCAAATGTAAACAAATAACTGCAAATAAATTACAACACAAAGCAATGCATGTTTGCCTTAGTAACGTATATCAAAAGGGATAGATTTTTGTCTAAAAAAGGAGTTTCACAGAAGAGGTAACATTGGAATTGAGTCTTCAAGAATAAGCAGGCCTTTGAGGGTAAGGAACAAATACTGCCTATGGGACAGCTCCACTTGAATATCCTACAGACAAGCCAAATACAGTCCTGAACACAATTGCCTTCCTCATCCTAATCTCAGTTCTTTCTTAAAGCATTTAGTCCTCTTAATTTATAGCCTTGCAGGTAATTATTGGTTTCTCCTCTTTCATCCACCTTTGTATTAGTTATCTAGGCTGCATAACAAATACAACAAATTAACTTCAATATTTGGCAGTTTACAACAATAAACATTTATCTCTCAGTATTTCTGTGGCAGTTTCAGGCTGTATGTTCTGGCTCTGGTCTCTAATGAGATTACAGTCAAGATATCAAATAGGAGTGAAGCTCAGCCGGTCCCAGCACCTGGAAGGAAGCTCGCCCCTGCCATCCCAGGCTCCTAGGGCCAAGAAGGTGAGCCAGTCCCAGCACCCGGAAGGAAGTTCCCCCGCTGCCATCCCAAGCTCCTAGGGCAGAGAAGGTGAGCCTCATGGGTGCCAGAAGCACCCCCACACACCCGTGGAAATGAGAAGACACATAAACAAGCCTCAAAAACAGACTTCCAGATCACCTACAGCAACCCCAAAGGGA